GAGTTGCTCAGCTTGATCTCACTTGACTGCTATTGCTGTCCCAGTCCTAGTTAAGAAAAATATTAAGGAGGATAAATGAAATAGTTTGAAGCTCTTTATAGAAATATTCTCTTTCCCCAGCTTAGTGGGAGGTATAAGAATAACATGGAGAAAACAGAAAAGTCTCTGCCTAGAACTTCAACAAGTAGATGAAGAAGCTGGGCTCGTGGGTGACTGGAAGTTGGAACTAACCCTTAATCTGGAGGACAAGGAGAAAGGTTTTCAAAAGCTTCGAGAATGAGTCAGTTAGTGAGGAGAAGTGGATTTTTGCAAAGCAAAGGAATTATAGGTGAGAGAAATATGGGAAGAAAGAGTCTTGCAGCCATATGAAGAATTGTCCAAAGACCAAATTAAAATAAAAGACAAAAAAGCATGTAACTGATAACGCCAACTTCAAGCTGGAAGGAAACACATGAAAGATTTTAAATACTGCAGTGAGAATAATCAAAATAGACCAAATGGGAGAAACAACTTACAGGGCAAAGGCAAATTGCATGCTAGACAAGTATAGCAGTACACAGAGTCATACAAAAAAAAAAATTAGGCTGGACTTAGAGTCAAAAAGGAGGAACTTTCTCTGCCTGAGGTTACAGCCATACAAAAGAGTTGGTCCAAGATTTTAGTTTGAGCAAAGTAACTGAAGACTTGAGTAGAGAGACGGGTTTGTGATGAACTGGCCTAGAAAATGTCATCAAATTCATCTTTCCATTGACAGCATTCAGAGATACTGTTCAAGAGGACAGATGCAGAGCATGCAGAATCACTATAAAAATTGCAGGAATGGTCACTTGGACCATTTCCCCAAGGGAATCCTTCTTAGAGAAATAGATTTTTAAAATTAAATTTCTAATAGAAAAGTATCAATAAAAAGAAATAGTTCAAATGAGTTCTAAAAATAAATAGTCAGTCCATGGTTGCTGGTGCAACAGGAAAGCTGTTTTTTTGTTGTTGTTGTTGTTGTTTGTTTGTTTTAATTAAGAAATAATTTAAGTTCCTCTTTTTACAAATAATTAAGATTCCAAAAATCTATAAATAAATGCATTATATTAAATTATCACAGATATAATTTATCTCTCCAAAATTGATATTAGCTATAAATGTAAATTTAATTTGACCTTGATTGATCTTCACCAGTAATATTAACTCCCTGGATAACATCTAGGAGAAAAAAAACAGGTAAAATATTATAAAATTCTGTCTTGAAGATGGAAAGGACAACAGATCTTTCTGGTTTCCAATTTTGCCCTATACTATTATTTACGGAATGCAGTTTTACTGTCCCTTACATTCCTTTCTTCCACATGGATTCTCTGTACTTTATATATGGTAATTCACAATCACCATTTTCGAAAGGCCTTTAAGAGCACTATAAATAGAACAAAGAGGAGCTGTTCTGAGAGCCAATTTGCCATTTTCTCTGTGGACAAAGTCAGATGAACTGGCTTCCCCATTGCTATAGATGATCTCCAGCGTTTTCAAACATTTTCTCAGTCTGTTTCAAAGTAACAATTGTCAATTAGAGCAAGAAGGCTGAAGAGGAGAAGACGTAAAATTGTTTATGAAGAGGAAAATCAATCAAGTAACCAAATAATCAAATTCCAGTACAATTAATAAATGAAGTATGAATTATTAATATATCTTAAAAAAAAAAAAAAACTCTATCTGTATTCCTATCCTTTTGCTTTGTCTCACTTAAAAACAGCTAATTCTGAGCTCACAGAAGAAATGAGTTAAAAATCAGCGATGTCTTCATCACAAATATTTGTCCATATCAGAATGGAATATCCTGGAACAATTACTGTGTATCTAGGCAGCAGCACTACAAGTAAATACGAATTAACATCACTACAGATTATTCCAATAGTTCCTATTCATCACAGATAACAGTGGCTTCAGGAAAATGTAACACTACCACATGCAACCAGACAGCAAATACATCTGAAAACACGTTTTCAAATCAAGAAAGTTGTCACAAATACTAGTATATAAGGAAACCCACAAGACAACTTGAAGTCAGGTTTACCGCCTTGATCTCAGATTGGCCACTGCAGTAAAAGACAATGAAGAAACCTTTTATAAATATATCAATGGCAAAAGAAGAACCAAGGATAATTTCCATCCTATACTTGAAGCAGCAGGGAACGTGGCCACTGAAGACAAGGAGAAGGCTGTGGTCCTCAATGCCTTCTTTACATCTGCCTTTAATAGCCAGACCAGTTATCCTCTGGGCATTTTACGCCCTGATCTGGAAGTTTGGGATGCTGCTCGGAATATACCCCCAGCAATTCAGGTGGAGACAGTCAGAGAGCTCCTCCTCCATCTGGACTGTCACAAGTTCATGGGACCAGATAGGCTACACCCTGTGGTGCTGAGGGAGCTGGTGGGGGTGATTGCTGAGCCACTCTCGGCCATCTATATATGTGCTCCTGGTTAACTGGAGAGGTCCCCGAGGATTGGAGGCTTGCTGATGTGACTCCCATCTTCAAGAAGGGCCGTAAGGAGGATCTGGCGAACTATAGGCCTGTTAGCCTGACCTTGGTACCAGGGAAAGTAATGGAGCAAATCATCTTGGGTGAGATCACACGGCACGTGCGTGGTGTCCAGGGGATCAGGCCCAGACAGCATGGGTTCATGAAAGGTAGGCCCTGCTTACCCAACCTCATCTGGGCCGTGCCCAGCAGGTCTTGGTGAATGGAGCGAAGTCCAGCTGGCAGCCCATTTCAAGTGTTGTCCCCCAGGGGTCGGTACTGGGGCCCATCTTGTTTAATATCTTTATTGATGACCTAGATGAGGGGATTGAGCGCACCCTCAGTAAGTTTGCAGATGACACCAAGCTGGGAGGTGGTGTGGATCTGCCTGAGGGTAGGGAGGCCCTTCAGAGTGATTTAGATAAGCTGGATCACTGGGCTGAGGTGAATGGGATGAGGTTCAACAAAGCTAAGTGTCAGGTCCTGCACTTTGGCTGCAACAACCCCATGCAGCATTATAGGCTTGGGGATGAGTGGCTGGATGACCGTGAAGAGGAAAGGGACCTGGGGGTGTTGGTTGATGCTTGACTGAACATGAGCCAGCAGTGTGCCCAGGTGGCCAATAGGGCAAACGGCATCCTGGCCTGCATTAGAAATAGTGCGACCAGCAGGAGCAGGGATGTGATCATCCCCCTGCACTCAGCACTGATGAAGACGCTCGAGTCCTGTGTTGTTTTGGGCCCATCAGTACAAGAAAGACATTGAGGCCCTGGAACGTGTCCAGAGAAGGGCAACGAAACTGGTGAGGGGTCTGAAGCACAAGTCTTATGTGGAGCTGCTAAGGGAGCTGGGATTGTTCAGTCCGGAGAAGAGGAAGCTCAGGAGAGACTGCATTGCACTCTACAATTTCCTGAAGGGAGATTGTGGTGAAGAGGGGTTTGGCAATGAACGGGGAAATGGCCACAAGTTGTACCAGAGGAGGTTTAGGTTAGACATGAGGAAAAACTTTCTCTCAGAGTGTGATCCGGCACTGGACTGGCTGCCCAGGGAGGTAGTGGAGTCACCATCCCTGGCAGTGTTCAAGAGGCATCTGGATGAGGAGCTGCAAGATATGGTTTAGTATCTTGTGGCAGCAATAGTAATGAGAAGACAGTTGGACTAGATGATCGTACAGGTTGTTTCCAACCTTGTGACTCTATGACAGTGTTCAAAACTTCATTTTTTTACCTGGATTTCTTAGTAATTTTTGAGAACTGCAGCAGAAAAGCTCTTATTTGTGAGATAGAAAAGGTTATAAACAGACAACCCATTCAAACAGTGACACCTTGCCAGCCAGTGCTGGAGAATAATAATAATAATAATTTAAAAAAAAGAGCACCACACCTTGCCACATTTTCCAGCACTCTTATTGCTCTACTTTCCCAAATAAAAGTCATGCAAATAATAGGAGACAATCCAAGTTAAATTGCAGTCCACACACACACACACGTTTAGGAAAATACAACTAATACTTGCGTGAAGAATATTTTGCAACTTATTTCCATAGTTGTTATTCTAGCAAGTGAAAGGAAATATGCCTGCTCCGCTGTAGTCTCTTCGTGCATTACTTACCACCAATACAACTGCATGCAAGTAGTACAGTAGCTCTGAATCTTGCATTTATACTAAATTACTGAATTAGGTTTTACAAATAAACATAAAGCACAAGTGTATTGTTTAGCACATTAATTTTAGATGTGTACTTTTTTGAAAAAAATCAACTCTTCTTATTTGACAACATTAATTCCGGTAGCAGAACCTACGTTGTTAAGAAAAAGTGGAACTAGTATTTTCACAGATTACAATCTGCATACACTTAGAATCACTGTTAACAACACTATCAACATCATATATTTGGGGGATGAAAGGAACCATCATTCACACCTTACTCTTATCAGACTCGCCTTATCTGGTACAACCCAGAAAGCACACTCATTTCTGGATTTCAAAACAAATTTCAGAAATAATGGTAAAAACATGGATTTCTTTTTAAAAGTTTTGTGTGTGTGTGCATATACACACACACACACACACACACACACACACACACACATATATATAAACACATATATACACAATTCCTAAGTAGCGTTATCTACATTACATACAAAATTATTTACAGATACGGCTAGGCTTTAGTCTTAAGATGCAGATAGTATGAAGAAACAGAGCTGTAAAAGATTTATTAAGAATTATGGAGTAACAACAGAAGTTCAGATTTGTTCTTTTCACCCAATATTTTTATGTCCACTAGCCAGTAGAAACAAATCTACACTTGCATTAAGTCATCTAAGCCATTAACTATGAAGTTTTCATTTTGAGTATTCCTACTTGAGCATAAACGCAAATCCCATTTGTACAATCAATGAAGGTACAGATGCTATAGCTATGAGGTATACCAGAGAGCTTGGCTACATAGTTATTACACCAAAGCAAAAAAGATAGGACACTTACCTGTATCCTGAGCTTACTTGCGAAACTCCAGCAGAGTAGATCTGTAGAAGAGATCCTTCCCCCCTGGTAGTCAGCTCTTAAATGGTCTAGGAGAGGTGGAGCCAGGCTTCACCTGTGCTCCTGTGGCTGACTCATTGCTCGCCTCAGGTGATCAATCAGAGGTTCAGACCATGATTCAGCAGTTCTCATACACCATTTCTATTCTGGTTTCATTGAACTATTCCTATTTCACTGGTTTCACAAATTCCAGGAGTTCAAGAAATGAGTTCAGAACATTTCTGCAAGTAACTACTTGGTTCAACCAGCAGCAAAAATATATCAAAGGAGATACATGGAAAGGCCTCTTAGTGCCTGAGTTTTATGGGCCAGGATGTCATTGTGATGCTCAAGACTGTGCTGTCTTAACCCACAGGTCTATAATCTGAAGGACTGTTTGGTCATTTGCCACTATGCAATATAGACAGCGCTGGATGCAGTTCTACATAGCCTTCTTGGCAGCCCTACATCTAACCAGTGATAGCACTAGTGGTCCCACCTCTGTTAGGAGGCCACATGAGTAGCAGGGTGCCTGTCAGACAAGATCTTATGTTTTTCAGCTTCCAAAAATATATATGTATATTCCAGGCAATACAGTAGTACCTGTCTATAAATTTTAAATAGCAGAACACTTGATTCTTGACAGCTCATCTCAATATTTCAGTGGCTGATTACAATATTAGTTTCCAGTCTTACCATTTTCTGTCACTACTCCCATCTCAAGATCACTAGAGGTAAGATTCTGCCTCAGATATTTAGGGTGTTTGGTTTTGTTTTTTGGTGGTTTTTTTTCGGCACAGTATTCTCAACACGTTCTGCTTTTGACTCAGAAGAATCTAATTTTCTCTGCCCAGAAAGAGAGGAGGAGAAGCCCTCTAACACACAGCTGATTGTATAGTTATGTTTCTGTTCATACTGGGCCTTGACAGAGAAAGGGCTATTGTTGCACTAGCTCTGTAGACCCACAAAGACACCCACGTTCTCCAACCACACTGTTGTCTGTTCCCACAGAAACCACATGTTTAGTGGGGCAGCCGTTGAAATAATGGAAGCCTCAGCATTCATACAGTAATACAGTAATGGGTTACTGTTCTTCCAGTACTATTTCATGAATACAAAGACACTGAAAATACAGAACCATCCCTTCCTTCTCTGTTTTTGCTTTACTAAAGCAAGACTGTACAGAGAATGAATTAACACCTTTCACTTGATCATAGAGATATGTCTCTCATCTGTAATTCACATTGTACTTACTGTTCTGAATCTCAGTCTAAGTATTCTATATTACTACTCATTCTTATCAACATTGAAAACATCTGTATGATATTAGATATCTGATCAATGTATAGAAAGAAATATTGGATTTTGTTAGGTTATTATTGAGAGTTTGGTGATTATTAAGTTACACCAAATTTAATCAAGCAATCTCAACAAAAACCTGGCTAGCTTTCATGCTAAGCACAGGCCAGTGGAAAGGATAGCAGAATCAGTGCTTGCATATTTAGTATTGAATAAACCATATTTTCTATGCTGTTTTCCATAAAAACAGACATGCTGGATCAAACTAACAGATTTTTCTCAGCCAGTGGCCAGAAGGTGATACTTAGGAAAAGGAGCATGTAAAAGGGGAAAAGTAGAGTGCTAGCTGCACTCTAAAAAAAGTCATCCATCTTGTATTTAATAGCTCTTAATTATTTCTTCTTTTATAAAAATAAAATTAAACATTTTGTAATTTTGGCACCCGATGAAAATAAATTTTAAAATACAGTATTCTTAAGCAGGAAAGATCTTTCTTATGTTTGTTTTAAACCTGCTGCCAAAAAGTTTCCGTGGGTGCCCTGCAGTGAGTAATCATTCCCTATTCAGATTCTTCATGTCATTCATGATTTTCTATTCCTCTCCCACGCCCACCTTTTGTTGTCTCTTTCCAAGCTGAAGAGTATGAGTACAATTCTCATAAAGAGCCATTCCCTTTCTAGGTCTGTATATCCTCTGTTAGCTCCCCAAATCAATCACTGTGTTGCTGTCTCATCAATGTATGCAGTGACATAATCAAGATTTCAGTTTCTTTTTTCATTCTTTTTCAGATACTTTTGAGTATTGTTTGTCTTCTGATGGCTGCTGAGAGCTGGGCTGATGTTTTTAAGGAATTAATCAGAATAACTCCAAGATCATTTTTGCTAATTTTGAGTCCACCACTGTGAGCTTCATAATTACAATTGTTTTTCCCCCAGGCGTGTTACTTTGCATTAATTTGGTATTTTCTTACCCAATCATTAAATGCAGTAAAATGCTTCTATAATCCTAAAGAGAAAGCTTGAGCTATCCTGAGAAATTTTGTATCAGTCAAAAATTATCTCCTTACCCCTCTAGATCAGTCAAAGATACGTTGAATAGCAGACAGCTCTATTCATTTCCCTTCTAAACCATTTGGGAAATGATCATCTATCATTTCTCCCCTTTTCTTTAATCCATTACTAAATCAGGGAGAAACTTATTTCTTACTCTATAATAGCCAATTTCTGTTAACCTTTGGTAAGATGCCAATTAAATATCCAAGTACATAACATCAAGTTTTGCTGAATTTTCTCCATTACAATACATTAAAACACTGTCACGTATTAGTTCTGGCCTCTATTACAGTTTCAGCTAATCTGCTCATTGCAGAATTCAGATACACTAATGAATTTTGATCTCTAATGAATTTCACACTCTACAGGCTCTGAAAAAAAAACAACAAACAAGCATCACAAATGGCCCTTTCCACTCCTCAGGTGTCAGCGCTGATAAAAGCTGTCACTATCCCCCGCAGTTAGCAGTTTAGAAGTTTTACTTGTGATTTTTTTCAGGTTCTTAGATAAACACAATCTATTTCTATTGGTTTATTACTATACATATATCAAGATTTTCAGAACAGGAAAATTCTACTTTGTTCTCCACATAGAAAGGTTCCACGGAAAATATAATAATAATAATAATACCACCAAAAAAAAAAAAAAAAAAAAAAAAAAGGAAAAGAAAACCATACAAACATTTCTCTTTGTTCCATCAAGTTACTAAGATACTAAGAACACTCATAAACCTTAATACATGAACAACAGAAATAATTCATGTAAATTTGAGGATTTTGTATGGATTTACAACAATCTTACTTTTCTAGTATGCTTCTTCTATGTTTTGTCTGAGCTACAGTAATTTCTCCTTTTCTCATTTAAATGATGCCACTATTTGTGCTTGTGTTTTTATCATGCATGTCGAGGCTCAACAACATTTTGGCTTGTTTCATTAGTTTCAAATTGAAGCTTCCAGGATATTCTATATTCTACTTTGGACAAAATTTTTGCCACAGTTGAAGTTGTCCCTGATACCTTCAGCAGCCTCCTGCATGAGTTTTACCCTTGTGCTTGCCTCTTTCTTTTAGAAAGTCTCTTTGTGTGTGCGCACTTTCCTGTTTGAGATTATATTATGATGGGAAGATGCACAGAGAATGTGTGATATTGAATTTGAGAATGCTGGGGCCAGCATTGCAGGGCAGATGATTGATTTGATTTCAGAAAGAATTTCAATAAAGAAAAGAACAATATTTTCAATATCAATTTGTAATCATTAATCGTTGGATTAAAATTACTGCCTTAGGAATATGCTCACAGGTATGTGCAATGTGTGGCATGTAATTAACATCAAAATGTTATTTAAATCATTGCCAAGTGAGAAATCAGGATAAAATATGTGCTATCCTGGATTATTTATGAGATATGAAATTATTATGATGATGAGGACCTTTCTCTTGTTGTTTTAAAATTCATTTAGTTCATTTACCTGACTAAGCCTGCCTTTCTCATGAATGGGTAGAACTTTTCACCTGGGATAAAGATTAGACACGGCACTTCATCATATAATGTGCATCAACAAAACCTACCTAAATTACAAGGAAAATAAAGCTTGTTATAATTTCAGCAATTTTTATTTAGAGATAATTCAAATGGAAAAAGAGCAAAAGGATTCATTGAAATTTCTGCCACTAGAGATGAGAAAAACAAACATGATAATTGTTAAGTAAATAACTTGAAGATAATTCTTATAAAAACAGTAATTTCTGCATATTACTATTGACATGAGTGACCTCAAAGAAATTATTCCAATCTGTCAGCAGTTTTTTTTCATTCTTTGCCCATACCGTGAAAAATTCAGAAAAATTTTTGTCAAAAATAACTTCACATTCTCATTTTGCAGCATAACAAAAGGCAAAATAACTGAAAATGAACTTGAATTATAGAATCATAGAATCATTAAGGTTTGAAAAGATCTCTAAGATCATCTAGCGTAACTGCTGACCCACCCCCACCATGCCCACTAACCGTGTCCCTCAGTGCCACATCTACATGGTTCTGGAACACCTCCAGGGATGCTCACTCCACCACCTCCCTGGGCAGCCCGTTCCAATTCTTGACCAAACTACTATACCAATTTTTGCTAAACTTTTTTTGTCTGTGTGACATCAATTGGACCATATTGGACTGCCCACAGTGATAGTCAATGAAAGTTTATGTTTGGTTGATGCTAAATTTTTGTTTATTTTAAATGTTAAACAGCATCAATGTTCTCTGAATTTTACCAGTGGCTGTGGCAGGCTGCAAGACATTTGAAACACTGATCATGATCAACAAATTTCAGTTTTTTTAAACAGAGATGAAAAAGGGCTACAGGTGGAAACCAATTCAAAATCAGTGTTTTGCATGTTTGCTTTTAACTGAAAGAGGATCAAAGGTTAATAAACACCTATTTTATATGAACACTGACTAGGATTTTTTGACATTTTTTTATTATGGAGAGTTTCTGCAACAACAATCAATGTCAGCAAATGACTCAGCTCTGCGCAAACAGAAAGAGTCAGTTGTCTTCCAATCACCTGCACCATGACTAAATTGGTTCAGGTACATACAGATATTTCTTCATAATGTCTCCTCTACCTGCTACCCAAAGCCTTTCCCTCAAAATAAAAA